AAGACAAAAAATGACCTAAAAACAGCTAATGTCAGCGTGAAACACTTTCGCTAGGCTATTCTCGCTCTTTAACGATAATGTTGCAAGAAGAACCATTTCGTATTTTTTGGAGATTTTTTGATTTGTCAATATGTATGGCTGATAATAATTTTACGTTATTTTGTCAGGTCGAGGTGATTTCACTTTATTTGACAATAGACTGATATTATTTCCAATCACAATAGTGTAGTCGCAATATTACTAATACAAAAGTGAAAGTTAAAAAGGGGAGAAAAGCAAAAATCTCTTGAATAATTGTAAAAGTCGTGTATTGCAAAACGACTAAATTAATCATTGTTTTAAGTTTGAATATCGTGTTGATAATAATAATAATAATAATAATAATAATAATAATAATAATAATAATAATAATATTCCTTATTATAATATAATATGCCTAATAATAATAATAATAATAATAATAATAATAACAATAATACTAATAATAATAGGCCTTATAATAATATAATATGCCTATTAATAATAATAATAATAATAATTCCTTTCCATTCCATTTCTTTCATATGTCTTTTTTATTATTTTCCTTTTCTGTCTTACGATTTTCATTTCTTTTCCTTTTATCTTTTTCTTTCCCCCTTTCTTTCTTATTTTGTAGTGAAAATCAGGGCTCCCGTGACCATCAAAATGTGCAGACATTCATTAGCTTTCATATGCAGTAAACACTATTTGGGTTAATGTTAAAACAGCCGTTCTATTGTCGTTTTTTTGGAAGACCTTCACTAATTCGCATTTATGCGAAGGTGGCGTAGGCTGACAGTGAGCCTAATCGCATTTATGCGAAACTAGCATGTACACCAACTGCGCGGTGTTCGCACAATATGCGAAGATGGTAGCGTAAGGGTTAATTGAATTAAACCAGAATATGAATTCCCATTGGATGAAAACAAAAATCACCATCAAAATACTAATTTCAATATGAATGAACAATCCTGTTTAGGTATTATGCCCGCAAAAATGCGAAGCTTTGGTTAGGCTTCCGCCATTGTCAGGTCTGGAAGCCCTGGCCTTAACAAAAAAAATGTATGATCATACATTTTTTCGACAGTGTGCAATCCAATT